CAGATTCATGGAGCTGCGGTGAACCAACACAACAACACATCCAGCTGGCAGTAAACACATTTCACAACCAGCAGGACTTCCTGCCACATAACCACACGACACCAGAGAGAGAGGAAGCCAAGTGTTACAGAAGAGGCTCAACAATAAACCAGATTAGACACAAGCATCAGTTTCATAATAAATTCTACTTTAATATTCATCGTCCTATCACAGTTCACCTTTTTTTTAATCATCTCAGGTCTGACTTCTTAGTAGGAATGATGGGAATTTTCAGATCCTGCAGCTCAAATAATTTATTTAAATGAGTGAAGGTGCGGCTGTTTTTAATGTGTCATTTTTTAGAATTGTTTTAAAATCCCAATGAAAGTAGAAAACTTTGTGAGTCCAGTCCTTCCCGTTTCATCGTGAGTATCTGGTCATGTGACTTGTGAGTTTGGCCTGCTGGAATAAACTTTATCCACCAACATGTGGTCTTTATTATGAAAAGCGTTTACACACCAAAGAACCCAAACCTTTCTAATAGCAACTGGCTTGCTTTTATACTCTACCTGATTCAGGTGAGCCTCTTGTATGACCCATATCTGGGAAACCAAGCAAACCAAATGACACACTGATCATCCACGTAAGCAAACATCAAAGCACAACACAACACATGGAAGACTTATTTATATACGCACAAAGTCCCACAAATAATTCAATTACACATACACTTCAGTCAATTATATATAAATTAGAAACACCTTAACCAAACCCCCCTAAGCTGGCCCACTGGTTTATTCTAAGAGCTCATAAGCAGCTGATTGAGCTGCTCTTACTCGTTTGCTCCTGTAAAAGAAGTGACCAGGAAAAGATGAGTACAGCAAACACACTTCTCTTAAATACATGTTTGAAGAATTTAGGTTTACAAGACAAATGATGAACTGCAATCAGCTGCCACTCAGGTTCTTCTTCCTGACACAGGATGGATGTCAGGTCCCTTCAGATGTTTCCTCAACTTCCATAAAAATGTCAAATTCGATAAACCTAATACAGAATCACCAAACCATAAATGTTTCTTTTTCATGTAACCTTTTAAATACCAGTCCCTCAAACATATAAAAATACATTCATTTATTTATTATTTATTTACAATTAAAATACAGGCAAGCGTAGTGGAACACCTGGGTCTCCATTACATGGCTCTATGAAAATGGACTTTCAGGATGGATGCTGGATGGAAAGGATGGAAGTTTTTGGGTGTCAGATTTGGAGGATTGGAGAAAACAATGTACATGGTGTACTCTCATTCCTGCTGGGATCTGAGACATCTGTGTGGTTTTTGGCATCACTGCTTCTGAACCACCCTCAGAATAAAAGCAGGAACTAGAGCGAGGTGGCGGCCAGCGTCCCATCACTGCCCCGTTACAGATTTGACAGCGCAGAGGCGAAGGCTCAAACACCCGGACATTGAAAGTTCCCTCTGCGGTCAGATTTCACCATCAGCTTTCTGAATGTGTGTGTGTGTGTGTGTGTGTGTTTCTGATCTATTTCTAAGTCAGTGCGTTGGATGCAAAGCAGTGTTTATCTGCCTGCCACAAACCACATACACATAAACTCACACACTGAAGTGTCTGTCAGCGGCTCGCATCATACAGCATCACAGCAGACATTTCATCATCCTGTTCTTCTTCTTCTGTGAAGGAAACCGAAGTCATTTTGATGAAAAAGTTGGCCTCCTCACCTTCCCTATAAACCTTGAGTGGACAAACAATAGAAATTAAACTCTTTAACTAATAAATACATTTTTTAAAGACGGAGACTCTACAGTACACAGCGGTAGCATCTCTTCCACAGTGTAGCCTGCAATCATTTTTTAAGTTCACCTTCAGACACTTTCTGTGCTGCTGAAGTAAAATCACGTTTCGTCTGCTTAGCAGGAGCTGCTGCGGTGATGGATGATGAACAAGGATCGCTCAGAAGTGTTCGTCTATGCTCTCGTGTCAGGTGCTTCAGTAAATTACTCCTGCTATTAACAGCGGCCGATAGTTTTTACATATTGATGTAATGTTCTTGTCTGCTTGTTTCAGAAAAGTGAAGAGACGGGAATATGTCCATGTCATAAAACAGCCACTCGCTTCAGCCGAGTCCGACATCTTCCGCTGTAGAATACGACTGTGCAGCAAACTGGCGCAAGATGACGCGCAGCTGCACTACAGCGACGTTAAAGCGGCAGAGTTTACTTCTTATTTTACAATGTAACGCAAGTACATTGTAAGTAACTGTAATTAAAATACCGAAAAATGAACAGTAATTAGTTACTCTACTTTTTCAGTGAAGAAGTAATTTAATTAGAGTAATGCATTACTTAGTAACGCATTACTTAGTAACGCATTACACCCAACACTGCCTGCAACTATCACAATGACACCATAGAGTTTTGGAAAATACCACATTGAGTTTAACTTTAGCAGCACTTTAACTCGTTATACTTTTTAATACAGCATTACTGACTTCACAG